GAAAATTCCCTGGCGAAATTTCCAAAAAATATGTAGCTATCAGGCCACTTAGCCAATTAAAAAAATTTCACACCACTTTTTAAGATCAGCAAAATAAGGGAAAGCAGTGAAATACACAACAAATGCAGCAGCGGTCTGTACAATCTACACCTGCTGGACGATATTAGGCAAGCGACCACGTGACAATCGACCAATAGTATGCTAGTCCGTCCTTTATGTGAATTGGTCAATTTGCACAAAAAGAAGGTTGGCCGCAGTTCCGCAAAGTTAGAAGGAGAATCCGGGTGTGCTCATCTGGGCTAGATAGTTCATTCAAGATGCTCATGAAAGAGGTCGGAAAATGGATTTTGCTACAAGCTGGCGATGCTCGTAGTCTTGAGTATCTAAGATATCTCCTTACATAGCGAGGTAATATTATCAATACAGTACTGTCAAAAATGATGTTCTTTTTAACCGGATCCGGCGTGCATTAAATGTATGGCGTATGAACTGTCTGAAAGTACACGAGTACGAGATTATTAAATTTTATCAGTCGTTTACTTGAAGTGAAAGAAATTAAATTCTATTATCACAGACTTTCGTCTCCTTTGAATATGGAGCCCGTTGAGTTTGAATCTACTGTCACAATGACGTGCACCTGTGTATCGTCCACATCGTACGTGCCGCTTTTACTTTCCGCCGGATAGCATAAAAAAGTATTTGTTATAACTTTTCTTTTTACTATTCAGATTGTTCTAACATGTTCTACTATTAAAGGGTCACTCTTCACAAAACAGTTTGCACTAACTGTCTTACGTGCTACTGAAATTCGTTTTCTTAGGTTTCATTCTTTTTGTAAAGACGCATGCTTGACTTTAGAATTAGATGCTTGACTTTTAAAGTAATTATCGAATATGAGCCCCCCCCCCGTAATCGGAGCCCATCCCGTGAAACATTGTAACCCTAGGGGTCTTCCTCGATAATTACGGAACTACCATGCCAACCTGTTTTATCGTAAACGCTTTAGAGAAGCATATATGGAGTCAAAAGGAACTGGATAAAGATAAAAACTTCATAACAATAACTTCATCTTTAGTAAGTACTAGTATCGTCATGTAAGTGCAAACTGAGTAAAAAGAACGAGAGTAAAAAGAAAGGTTGGTTAAAGGGGAGTTCAAAGGAAAGCGCATTTATAAATTAGTCTTTTATGCAGGGTATTTGAGCACCCTTACTGCCAGTTTATGAAATAACTGTCATAGCGGTTCAATAAGCAAGTTCTAAAGTCAAGCAGGCGAAAGGCCGACAGGCAAAGACCCGTTCCAGAATACGCGATCTCTACGGTAAAGCAAAGCGCAAACCATAATTATGCTTGTGTTATTTACCGTACACAATCGTTGCTACTTGCCGCACTTGGACAGCTTTTAATTGAAAAACCAGATTAAAATCGAAAAGCGTCTTCCTGCCATAGTTGAAAAAAAATGATAAAATAACAATAAAATAATGCAAATGCAGTGAAAAAAATTTCTGGTTCCAATTCTCCCATTGGCTGTGATACATGTTTAAGAATTGCTTCTAGTCTTTCCCATTCAGTGGTATCGGAGTTGATTTGGATGCAGGGCGCTAAGCGCTCCTTCGTCTTCCATAAGTCTGTCGGTTTGAGCAAATTTCGGCTCGCCACCACCATTAATAAATACGAAGAAACACGGCTGTTACGGCCAATCTGTATTTTGCGGCATGTTCAGTCACTTCACTGTGAAACGGAAAACTGTTCGTCAAAATGCCCGTCAATGGCGGACACGGCTAGTTTCGTTAGGCTGGACACATCAAGCAGTCTTAAATCGGCATTCGTCCAATCCCGTGTGCTGCCATCTGGGCGGAAACCGCTGTACCTATAAAAAAGCGTTACAGCGATAAAATGGTACAACAATCTGTTTTTGCCAGCGTACAATTGCAGGAAGCGTCGAACGTGATGCCAATCGTCGGGATACTGTAGTCTGTCCAGCCAGCGGCGATGAATGGAGCGTACACGATCGTAGACCGTCGCGTCAATCGGAGCGCAGCTCATCTCCGCCGCTAAGAGAAACTGCCGAAGCATTCCGGCATTCCCATCAGCGGAGTGCAGCAGTAAAGAAGATATCACAACGGGGGTTTTTCTATTGGTAGCTGGATAGTGGTAGAGCCCGCGGGAGAAACCGGCTTCCTCGCGTGGAAACTGGCCCCGAAGGAACAGCGACAGCATATTCAACATGGGGGCCATATCCTCCACGGCATAATTGCGCAATACCAACCGACGACAAATGGTGGCAAGGTTGGATAAATTAATGCAGCGCCATTCAACATCGGCGTGGGCCGCCGAATTGTTCGGGTAGGGTATTTTGATGCCATAGCGTGTGCGGCCATTGCAGAGTACTATGTAGCGCAGCTGTATTTTCTTGGCGGCTAATAGTCCCACCACCACTTTCCTCAGTGGGGACAGATTGCTGCTGTTTGGTGTATACTTATCGAGCAACGTCAGACTCCTGGTTTGGTCGGTTACGGCCTGGTTCAGTCCCCAGGTGAAGCTGTACGTGTGATCGCAGATATACGTTGAGAATTCCTTCAAGTTCACGCTGGAGCTGTCGATGGTGACGTGGTAACGGGCACGATTATCGGACATAAGGTCGCGCCACACTGTACACACTCTGTAATCCAGAATGTTCATCTTTGTTATATTTTAATGTAACAGAGGTTGATTAATTTATAAATTTATAAGATACTGCCTACATTTCTTGCTTAAGCCATGATTGGTACACTCTGATACGTAGTTCGCAGAAGCAACAGAAAAGATTCAGTAAGGAATGCAAAAGCGACAACAGTAAAGTATAAAGTAGAATATAGATTAACAAAAAGTGAGCATTCGTAAGAAAAAATTTTTATTATTTCCATTCATGCAGTTATTACTGACCTTTTCATACGTGCTTGAGAATGCATGTCGAAATTGATAAGAATTTCGACTAGAACCGGATAGACCACATTTCCAATCCGTCCGTCATTGTCTAAAACAATTTCACTATCTGCAGTAAAATGCCAGTAATCCATAATAATATATAGGTAATAAGTGATACCAGAAACACTGCTATTTTGCCGTACGGTCTCAAGTTAACTGTCCACAGCGTCAGCGACTCTCCTCAGAAAAAGTTCATTTTTCAGCAGAATGACAGAGTACAAGCAAGGCAGATGGGTTGCGTAAAGATACAGTGAAAAATACGAATTTATTGGCTGCGCTATGTGTAGTGCAGTGGCTGCCGCTTTAGGATTTCGTGTTAATAATTTTTCGCCATCATTTTTTCACGAATAACTGCCAGCTGACAGCCAGCATGAAATCGAAGTAGCGAACTATCTCCAAAAACTTTAAGTGCTCCATTTTAAGTACCGGTATACGTACCTTCACGAGTACGCAACCACCCCACAATCTCTGTCTATATTGCACCGTTGGCCGGACGGAAGATGTGCACTTCGTCCGCTCGGGACATCTTCATTCCATTCCGCACGCCGGTTGCGCAGCGCCACCTGCATACCGCAGCTGCCGCTGGCGGCCACTTTCTCGTCTATTGAATTCCATGTCGCGTAGTCCTCATTGAGAAAGCGTTGCGCACGGACATGCCGTGAATGAATCCAGCTGGCGGGCTCCGTGCTGCAGTCAAAGTCAATGAACATGAGGTCGCCATCAATATTCTGCACGTATCCCAGCCACCATTCGTCGTTGTCGCGTTTAACCAGCACCGTGTTCCCGTTGTTGATTACACAAGGACTGGGTGCAGGGCGACGGAAAATATACGATGAAATGGTATCCATGACAGCGTCAGTACGAATAAAAATTTAATGGCTTCGAAGCACGTATAACAAGCAATACCGGCAGTCCTGTATTTATGCCAGTTTTCGGCAATGGCCGGTTCACATAACCATACGTACGCTTGCGCGGGAATAAACTAGTTAAAATGAGTTTTTACCGCGCCAGTTTTATTTCATGTGACATAAAACGTGTGTTTCACCAACTGTACTGTGAGCGGGGGTTCACTAGCGTTCACGTCCGCGACGCTACGCCAGCTGGATTACGTGTCTGTGTTGTGTCTCGCTCTGATTGGCTAGTGGGCGCGGCTTAGCACGTGCTGCACAGTGTTACACACTGTTGAATGGGTTCTACGTTTTACGATCGAGCTGCGCCGATCACTTGTTGATTATCTGGTCTCCAGACTTTTCAATATAAAAAAGTCAGCGATTTACGGTGCGACGTTTGTGTTTCCGCATAGCTCGCGATCCAGATCGTATCGCTCGCTTCCACAGGATACATTCTGTTTCTGTCTCTGTCTCTGGATCCATTCTGGATCTAGCATTAGAGTACCAAACTGCCAACAATATCATTTAGAGCGAAAGAAATACAAGCTAAAGCCGTAACAAGTCAGACTGCCAGAGCATGCACCTTTTACAGAGTTTCGTTGCCTGTAACAAAAGAGAAGTATAGATATAGACAGGTGGCCGAAATTCAGCAAAATTCGAAGAAGAATTTAGGTAGGTCGACTCATTCGAGTGACAGTGCATTCAACTGTTGGTAGCCATCAGGATACACACGCAATCCCGCTTCAGGATACACACTGTTTCTACGGTATTGCAAGCTATAATTATTAATTATGCTATTTTACTGCAGTCGCTACAAGTTATACTTTGGCAGATTCAGCTGAAAAGCCAAAGCAAAATTTAAAAACGCCCAATTGATATGGTCGAAAAAATGCAATAAATTAAGGATAAAACATCGCAGTGAAAAAAGCGTTGCTGCGTCTCACCCTCCCACTGGTGACCAAAAGATATTCGAGAATTGCAGCTTATTTGTCACATCCAATGGCGTTAGAGTTGGCTTTGTTGAATGGCGTTGAACGCGTTCCGCCTTCCATGAGTCTGTCGGTTGGACCAAATTCTCGCCCGTCAGCAACTTTATTAAATACGATGAAAAACATCTATTGCAGCATCTGTATATTGCGGCGCGTTCATTGCTCTACGCCGAAATTCCCGTCAAAATGCCCGTCAATTGCGGACACAGCTAGCTGCGTCAGACTGGACACGTCCAACAGCCTGAGATCAACATCCGTCCAATCGTGCTCACTGCCATCCGGACGGAAACTGCTGTACCTGCAAAAAGAGCACGACGTTAAATTGCTTAAGAGCCGGCGCAGATTTAGCTGATTCTCGCAAACCTACAGCTGAAGGAAGCGTCGAATGCAGTACCACTGATCAGGATACTGTAAATTGTCCACCCAACGGCGATGAATGACGCGTACTCGATCGTACGTGGTCGGGTCAAGCGGAGGGCAGCTCTCCTCCGCCGCCAAGAGAAACTGCCGAAGCATTCCGGCTTCACCATCCGCAGACTGCAGCACTAAGTAGAATATTTCAACAGGAGTTTTGCGGTTGGAAGCTGGATGGTAGACTCCACAGGTGAAACCGGCTTCCGTTCGGGGGAAATTAAGAGGAAATAGAGTAATCATATTCGAAACGGTGGCCATATCGTCCACGGTGTAATTCAGCAGGGCCAGCCGATGACAAACGGGGCCGAGTTCGGCTAAATGGACGCAACGCCACACTCCGTGGGCATGTGCCGCCAAGTCGTTGAGGTGCGGTGTCGTAATAGCCTGGCGTGTGAAGCCATCGCAGAGGACGATATAGGGCAGCTGGATCTTCTTGGCCGTCAAGAGCGCCACCACAATTTTCGTCAGCGTGAGCAAATTGGTGCTCTGAGTGCTCTCGTTGGCGTCGGTGGTGTACGTATCGATCAGCGTCAGGCTGACGGTTTCTTTCGTTACAGCCTCATTCAAACCCCAGGTGAAGCTGTAGTTGTCATCGGCAGTCGGCATAACTAGCAGTTCCTGCAGGGACATTTCCGTGCTATCGATGATGACGTGCTGGCGGGCACGATTGTCGGAGAGAAGCTGGCGCCACACTTTGCACACTCTGCAGTACAAATGAATTTTCTGGCTTAAAATGGATACTTCGAATACTGCCTTATATGGGCTCCCCTTATATTACGCTCCCTTATCTGGGCTCCCGGCTAGTTATCAATACCCGTCAAATTAAATTTATCGGATTTATAGCAGAACCCTTTTCTACTTCTTTCAACCGGATTTACCAGTAAGCATCTTCACGGTCCATTTGACAAAGTCACAAACATAAATTTTAAAAGATTTTGAATCTGTCGTTGATGCAACCTGAGCACTTTGATACCAACTGAACGGCACAAAAGTACTGGCAAAATAAGTATTTTATACAAATCAAAATTTTCACTCAGTCACAACACTGATTAAACAGCTTCGAAAGTGTGAGTAATAACGTAACCGCCCATGTAGAGGGTTGCTCATATTGCTCGGGAGCCCAGATAAGGGAGAGTAATATAAGGGGAGCCCATATAAGGCAGTATTCGAAGTATCGTATACAGATTCATATATGGCGACCGACATATTAAGAAACTGATAACGTTTTAGATCACTTATTTGCGAATTAAAAATTTGTCATTATGTAGTATTGCAGCTTTCGCGCTTGTTTTTATTTTGATGGTTGCTACCTCTTTAAGTAAACAGACACAAGTGACTATTATTTAGTTCATTATAAGGAATTCTGACACTAATCGCTGGACGTTACCGTTTTGCTATAGCTTGCGTGTGCAGATCCAGACTGACGAGAATTTCGGCCAGAGCTCGATCATCCACGTCACTGATCCGTCCGTCATCGTCTCCGATAAATACATTGTCTGCAATTAAGGCAATGTTTACACTCTAATACACACTCCCGTAAATTATTCTTAGGATAAATCAGCTTTCATCTCGTAAGCTACATTTTTTGGCCATTCTTGACTATAGACTTTATGTGTGGCTTATTAATTGTGCGTGGCTACTAATTTTAAATGTGGCTTATTAATTGTAATTGCAACATTGCGTGAACAAAGTCGAGGATTATTCGAAGTGTTGCGTTTTACTGTTTTGCTTAGAAACGATTTAATTTATTAGACAGTAAAACAGATGCAGATGCGTGGATGAACAGATAAACAGATGGGTGGAGTTACGGAGTACGATTTATAGTGGAAAAATGTACAAGACACCACCACCTTGGTATCCAGTGGCTTGGTGGATATCCACCTGGGTACAAGCTCGTCCCGGAATTTCCGTCGCATCAACCAGCGGCAAACACAAATTCTTATGCAAGAGTTATCAAAATCCGTACTTTGTTGCGCAACGCAACATTACAGTAGTATGCTCTACAGGCGTTTGGCATGCCTGATGCATACCGAATATCGATCAAAATAATCAACTATCGATATAAATTACAAAATATAAACTTTTTTCCACTATAATTACATGAATATTGAGAGTAGTAAATTTTTCATTGTGTAGTATAGTGTAATGGCGATCGTTCATATCGCAAACTTAACCGGAAAAACTTGCACTTCGCTTACCGGACGGCAACTCTTCTTGTGGGTCATTCATTTCGTCGTCTTCCGGCGCGGGGATCGACGGATCGGGATAATAGCGTATACAGGCTTTAATCAGAGTTTCTTCGTCCCATTCGGCACGCGCGTTAGGATGAGTGGCGAAGAGTTGGGCGCAGACAAAATGCAGCGCTTCGTCAGCAATTCGAACGAAGAAACGGTCGGAGACAAAAGGACTGCAGCATGACCGGCTGCCTCCCCATCCCGGTAACGTGGTGGGGGGATCTAACCCGGCTTCATCCAAGCATCTCCGTAAGGCCTCTATACTCAGCTCCCCAATCATGTGAGCATTCTTGAAAGGAACCATGAACCGGCGGTAGTATAATCCCCCAGTCTGGTTGTGCAGCGGCGGCTCATCCACCGCCTGGTCGACGGTAGCGCCAATCGTCCACAGACGCTGTCCGAAATTAGCGGCAATCTGCCACAGGTGCACCACCGCGTACTGGGGCGTGGCCACGTGGTCCAGTTTGACGTAGAAGACACCCAGTGCTGATGTTTGCGTCAACAGATGGGCGGGACGGAAAATGTGTGGCCCGTTCTCGGTGTCCCGCAGCGCCACCTGCACGGGATAGCCGCCGCTGGCGGCTACTTCCCGGTCTATCCCGCACCAGTCATTGAAAAACCGTTGCGCGCGCACATGGCGCGCATTGATCCAGTCGGGGGCAGTCGTGCTGCAGTCGAAATCGATGAACATGCGGTCGCCATCAATATCCTGCACGTATCCCATCCACCGTTCGCCATTGTCCCGTTCAACCACCACCGTGTTCCCGTTATTGATTTCGCGAGGACCCCGTTTTGGGCGCCGGAAACAATGCAGTGGATTACTATCCATGACGGAGAAAATGCGATACTTTGGCAAGTCTTCAGTGGTGACAGATAATTGACAAGAATGTGCTTTTGCCAGTTTTATGTATTCAACGTAACGCTGGTCGACCGTTGAAGGAAGTGTGCTAGGCAGTCAGCTAACAGTTTCACTAACTGCATTCATTTGGATCTGGTCAAAATATTCAGCTCCACTTCAGCCAGAGCCACTTCAGCGTGCACATGCTAAAAGATTCGATTACCTGTAAAGAGAGAGGTAGACAAGAGTTGCCGCTGATACAACCGTAGCCAAGTGGAACAGGCAGCATCTGCGATAATGTCTGCCTCTCTGTTCATCTCTACTGCGATAAAAGTCATAAAACCCTTGCTTTAATTAGCCTTGCCGAGGCTCGGCAGGCGTACAATCGGTGCAGATATTAGTTTTCATGATAGCTAATGGTCCGGTGACCTGGATTCGGTGAAGTAGTCAAATGAAACTTAGATAGACAGACAACCTTCGCTGATGCGATAACTGTGCAAACAAACCGCCCATTGTCTGCGTGACCGGGCAAAGGCTATCCCTTCAGCTGTCTGTCTATCCCTATCCCCATTAAAAGGATCCCTTCAGCTTGACGACACAAACGATTTGCTTTTGCCGTAATCAAGCTGTTGAGGCAGCCACTCTCTAAAGTTATCCTCTATTCTCGCCAGTCCTCAATTCAGCTAGCTACAGCTGCAATATATTCCGCATTAAATTTTGTCTTGCCTGGCTACATTCCCATTTCGCCCACTTGAAGAACGGAATAATTCAGAGTTTTTTTAAAGTCTGATGTACTGCACCTAGAAACAATCTGGAAAATTTTAAATATCATTATTCTTTAGGTTATTGCAAATGGAATATCAGTAACCTTTAACGGCTGGGTTAAATTTGATTATAAAACGTGTTTTGCCCTTGAGCCAGTACAATAACGATCAATAATTTGTCTATAACTATCCAGTTGAACTTGGGGTTAACACGCTCGGAACATGCCCTAAAATACGTGAAATCGAGACAAGAGCTGTTGGACCTGTTTATAAAGGCACAAACTTTCTCAAGCTTCTGAAACTGCCGAGAACACTGGTCGCATAATGCGCCGCTGACGGAAAAAGCGAACACTGTTCCCACGGGTACGATCCCTGGGAACTACAGTATCGGCCATTGCGTTATTTCGTTCTCGGTCATAACTCACAGTACAGATATGTACTACAACGTTAGAGCCTTGCAAGAACGGTGTTTGACTGTAAGGTTATCGTTCCTACTGAGACGGCCGACCAGGAGCAGGGAATATCAGGCCGCGCTAGACCAGATTAATTAACGAGCCAGATTAATCATTAGATTTCGTGTGTGAAACAACAGTTTATTAATCTAACTAAAACAATCAGGAAAACAAATAACTCACTAAGGATCTGAATTAAACTAAAAAAATCTGAAAAAACATGAGAAAGTAATTGGAGAGTAGTGTCATCCTAACAATTAGCCTAAACACAAGTAATGAGCGCTTGTGCGACAGATTTGAAAAGCAATTGTACAGTCCATTTGATTTGAAAAGTAACTGTACTAGTTATTCAAAATTATAGCGGTACGGAAGTATAAAAAATGCGGTGAGTGTATCGCTGCGCCGCCATGTTACGCAAAACAGGGGAGAAGGAAAAAAAGGATGGAAAAGTGGTGCAAATAATGAAACAGAGTTAGAGCCTCAACGGAAATCCGTCATCATGGAGCGTTTCCCTGGCCAGGTATTAGTCAGAGTCGCCGGCATTTGGTCGCAGCATACTTTTCCATGCGATGTGCCGCTGAACCACGACACAGTGCACCTGGCCCGGGAGGTAAGGGAAGAGCGACTGACACACTGACCAGCTGTCCGTTGCCGTGTCATAACACTCCATTCCGGCGCCGTCTTCTTCATGCTCAGGCAGTCCAGCCACAGCGTACAACTTCCCGTTTAGCGCCGCCAGTCCCGGTTGCACTCTCGTAAAATTTATGTCCCCTGAACAAAACTATAATTATTGTTGTTATTATTACCATTATCCAACTGTTATTGCCACTGACGTTTTGCTTGCCACTGGTTCGTCTGAACGTTGTACGCTTCCACACGGCTGACTGTCTGATCCAGGTACATCCCGACACAACCGCCTACGAATAGACGGTAGCAGTCATCTTCGCTATCTGCGGGAGTTACTGCGTTACTCGGAAATTTAACTGACCCACAACATAGATGAGCCCATCGGGGCCGACGCATGCTCGGAAATCGTCGCGCTCTGTTGGCATCGGCGCCAACGGCTTCCATTCGTTGGTAGCCGGATCGAAGCAGTACACGTCCACCTTCGCATGGTGGCCGGTGGGAATAGAAACCCTTCTCCCTCCAAACATGTGCAGACAGCCTTGGTATGCCACCAGCGCACAGCCGGAAATGGAAGCCGGCATCTTTGCTCTCATTGTCCACTGGTTCAGCTCGTCATCGTACACATCCACGCTGCCGTTACCCACCACGTAAAGGCAGCTATCCACGACGGCTAGCACAGCTTCCTCGTCGTGGTCGGGAAGAGTCCCTAGATCGGTCCACTGATCCACAAAGGAGTCGTAGACGAACAAATGGCAGGTATCCACATCGTCAACATGCGCTAGGATGTAAATCAACAGTCGACACTCCTTTACGACGTAAGCCGGCGAACTGCCCCAGGGCCTCGGAGAAGCGGCACACGGGACCCTTCGGCAGCTGGATGTCAGCGGATCCATGCAGTACATTTCTGCTTCCAGTTCCGGTTCAGTGCCTTTGCAGTAAGTATTGTACGACCATAAACAAACAATCACTGGCTCTGCAATGCGCAGTATAATGTCATTGTAAAACGATTCATTATGCCTTTAAATGATTTTTGAATTTTTAAAAACATTTTTTTGTCAGCAGAAGCCCTGATTAACTGCACGCGGCCCGTATGATGTTTTTATTCTACCTTAGGATTGTTTCTCTCAAACTCCCGGGACATCAAAACGATAAGGAAAACCTAACCTGTTGGTCTTTTTTCTAGGCTGCTAATCTCAAGTAGTTGCATTGATGACCTTAAGTATAACACTGTACAGAGTAAGAACTCACGGTAAGAGCAGCGAGGCGTGCTGCTACCGTCCGTTATGGAGAGGACAGCTTGTTGAACGTGTTGACCAGCGGGAGTGTCGGGAAGAGTGGCAATATCGTCAGAAGTCAGCAAAGGCACACGAATTCGCCCCACGATGTCCACCGCATGCGGTAGCCGCTCTTCGAAGGAATGGGCTAGCCAACGCGCAACCGCCGTGGCCACTTGTTCTTCCTTTTCCACATTCAGTTCGTCAGACGCGACCAGCTGACTGACCTGCAAAGGTGACAAGAGCATCAAGTAAGCGTAATTCATATACAACCTGCCAAAGCCCACTTCAGCGGCATCCAAGTCCAGAAAATCCGCCGACTGGCTGATACTCGTGAAATGCTCCAGCGCGAAGGCGCGGCAATCCTTTAATACGTCGGTGCAGGACAGGTGTTGTGCCCCGCGGTAGATAGCCCGCCAATTGTTGGTGTCCAGGTTCTCCTTCAGGACCAGCTTGCACACTTCCACAATCTGCTCCATCTCCAAAAAGTCTGCGGCCTGCAGCAGGAAGAGGGCGTTGCCACCGTCGACGGAGATCTCAAACGAGTACATATAGCGAATCAGTCTGCAACGGGAAAACATATTAAACGCTCATTAATCAATGAAATGTCGCCGGTTAGAAAGGCAAACCCAACAGTGAGTATGTATGCTGAAACTTCGTGTGATAAAACAACCAATGATGAAGGAAACAATATATAATTTTTCGCTATGGCTTAGTTAAACAATATTTTGCTATACAAGATGTACAGCGGTCTTGTCTTAGCGTCGAGCGTTCGTCTGAGTAAATTCAACTCAGTTAAAACCATCGAATAAAGTCATAGCAGCACAACCACTCACTGCTCCAGGATGTCATGGGGCACACTGTGCACTTGGATGGTATCCTGTTGCGACTCCTTCATCGGTGAACGCAGCATGCGTTGAAACCAGCCGCTGCGCGCCATTAGCACGTTGCGGTGGCAGGGGATCCATGGTGCTGGTTGCGCGGGGTTTCCCTTGGTGCCACAAACCGACACATCACAAAAGTTGTGCCGAGCATTCTGTAGTCCGATGAAAAATGCCGAGCCGTCCAGTTTGAACAGAGATGTATCTTCGGACAACCGTCTCCGTTTGCGAGACGCCGAAGAGCTGCAAGCTGCCATAATTTCTGTCATCTTTCCCTGCTGCGAGGAAAACCTTAATCTTGGCAGCTTATGATTTAGGGCAGCTATTAAAGAAGATTATCGCTTGGTGGTCAAAGAGCGACAGTCAGGCACTTCGGCACAAATACATTCAAAGTGGACGTGTGCTCCCACTATATCATCGAGTCTCACTATCAGCCAAACCATCGACAACGTTGGCGAGTGCAGTGAAGATGAGCATGGTGAGGGCTCAGAACGATCAACGGGCAATTAAAGTGTTTTTGCAGTAATACTTGTCACTAGAGAGCAGTTTTTGTGACCCATTTTCGTAATGACTGCCGGTTTCTTGATAGCGCGCAAGCTATTAACGCTATAGGTCAAACCATCACAGTTCTCTCAGTTCTGCTGTGCTTTGTGTCTGCCGGTTAGACGGTTGCCATGCGTAGAGTATAGTGGATACGGATTCCCAGCCACTTGTTTTAAGCGTTGCTAGGTCGCGACTGAAATTTTATGCCGCTCCGAGTTTTGCGCCTTGTGTCCGGGTCCCTGTCTTCTTTCTGTTAAGAGAGCTGCAGGGTATGCAAAAGCCGACAAACAGAACTGTGTCCCACATTATGCAATCGCCACGCCTCCAAAAGCCCCACAATTCAGCGTTGCGATTTGTTGTCAAGTTTTCTATAAGGTGTAAGCGGCATTCTGTCATCTGTCAAACAGAAATAACCTTGAGCAACAATAAATCATAATATCATAATACCATAATCATAAAAGTCAATCCTGCATAGGCATAACCTAAAGGAAAAATTCATTTTGAGTACTGTACATGGGTCGTGTAAAGGAAGAAAACCAGACAAAGGTAACTGGCCAGTGCGCAAAGTTGCTGTTTCCTACATTATCAGTAAAAACGAGAATAACGAAATAATGCAATTGCATTAAAAAATATTTTTGCTGTTGGCGCATCTCGAAGTAGATATTCTTCGCTGCGTGGTGTCCTCGTTCGATGGCATTGGAGTTGGTTTTGATGGAGGGAACAGGCCTGGGCACTTCTGTAAATTTACCTGTTTTCGTAAATTCTGATTTGCCCAGTAAAAACATTATTTAGCTTTAGGAAAAGCGTTCTTGCGGTATGGTTAGGGCGTTTCTACTGTGGAAGGTTGAAATGCGCATCAATGGCGGTCACTGCCAGCTTGGTCAGGATGGACACATCCAGCAATCGAAGATCAGCGTCCATCCAATCGCATGCACTGCCATCTGAACGGAAACCGCTGTATCTGCAAAATGTAACAAGATCAGTTAACTGCATGTAGAAAAATCGGCGCAGATTCAAACTGTTGTCGCCAACATACAGTTGCAAGAAAAATCGAATGTGGCTCCACTGATGGGAATACTGCAACTTGTCCACCCAGCGGCGATGAATGGAGCGTACTCGATCGTAGATAGCCGCGTCAAGCGGAGGACAACTTCTCTCCGCCGCTAACTGCGGCGGTAGTATACCGGTAGTATACCGGTATACTACCGCCTGCGGTAGTATACCGGCTTTGTCATCAACGGAACGCAGAATCAAATACGGGATCGTAATGCGTGTTTTCCGGTAGCCAGCTATCGCGCTGCACCTGCAGATGAAGCCAGCTTCCATACGGGGAAAATCCATATACGGAAACAGAGATGCCATATTCCAGGGATGGGCAATATCCTTCACGGTATAATTGCGCAGCAGCAGCCGATGACAAACGGTCAGCAGGTGCATTAAGCTGACGCATCGCCAATTATCCTCGTCGTCAGCGGCCTCCTCGTCGTGCGAGCGCATAATCTTAAAGCCTTCACGTGTGCTGCCATCGCGGATGAGGACGTAACGTAGCTTTAACTTTTTCGCGGCTAGCAGCGCCACCACCACTTTTATCAATGTGCTCAGAGTCTCGTGCTGTCCGTTATCGAGGACCATCAGGCAGACCGTGTGGCCGGTTACGGCCTGATTCAGGCCCCAGGTGAAGCTGTACACGGGATCGCAAATAGAGGTGACCGGCAGTTTGTTCAGAATCACCTTCGAACTATCGATGGTGACGTGTCGACGGGCATAACTGTCGGATACAAGTTGTCGCCATACTGTGCACACCCTGCAAATTAGCAATCCATGACAGGCTCTCAGGTTGAAATAATAAATCTCAAAACCTTTTCGAAAGGTTTCTCACATTAAGTTTTTCGAGTACTTGCATCGTTCGGTTTTATTAATAACTATTAATTTGGATTATTTTGTTCACTATACAACCGGATTGCCGGTTATCGGTTACTATGAAAGGCCGAAAGAATAAAAGTAGGGGCTAATTGTTACCTTTCCACTTGGGCTTGACTGTGCAGGTCCAGACTGAGAAGAACGACGGCCACAACGGGATTCGCCAGGTCATTAATCCTCCCGTCATGGGCTCCAATGACTGCACTATCTGCAATATGGCCTACATAGTACACTATTTTTTACATCTTTGAGCGGTACTTGCCAGCTGTATACTAAAATCGAAGATCCCCCAAAAGTGTCCTAACCTTCTCCTTATTACAGCGTATTAATTTTTACCCTGGATGAACCCTGACGTATGCACTGTCGGCAACCATCGGAAACCAATTAAAGAAACCAATCTACTGATCTGCACAAAAGCAGTTGTTTTGACATTACAAAAAAGCCACGCCCTTACTGAGTCCAGCTGGTACTGTTTTTCGTTTGAATATTATGAAGGGTGTGGCTATTCCCACCACCTCACACCACCTTTTGGCTATTCTCACCACCTTTCACCGCCTTTTGGCTATTCGCACCACCCTTTTTAAAATATTCTTTACACCACCTTTTGACTATTGCCACCCCCTTTGCGCACCTCTTTTGGCTATTGTCACCGATTTTTTTGCGCTTTTACACAATGTGTTTGTTATCCCTAAAAGACTTGATCTACAGATTTTGTAGCTTAGCCGTTAGCGGCGCTTTTTCCTAACAATTCTATTTTCAATCTTCAGAACTGATCTGCGTCAATCAAACCCGTTTCTGTTAGCAAATTATACATATTAGCATAATATTACTAAACTAATAATATTAGTTTAGTAATATTATGATATTAGCCATGTTTATCAGTTAAACCGACACCTGCTGTTATTTCCTGCCAGGCAGAAAAAAATTTTTACCAAAAAAATTGGACAAATATTCGATAACAAAAACGGATTTTTTTCCGCAAAATTTGCGGTACGACAAGTGGTTTGCGAGAGACAAGCTAAGAGCCTAGACCGCCAATTTGTTGGGTCACCCGTTAATAAAAAAATTATTTAAGGAGGTGGGAATAGCGAAAAGGAGGTGTAGAAAGGTGGTGGCAACAGTCAAAAGGTGGTGTGAAAAATAATATCAAAAAGGTGGTGCGAATAGCCAAAAGGCGGTGAAAGGTGGTGAGAATAGCCAAAGGAGGTGCGAGGGTGGTGAGAATAGCCATTTCCTATTATGAAATTTAATGATGCCAAACATACCGAACACTGACTCTGATTGGTCTTCCTTTTCGCTGACCAGCAGCGACGGCTTGGGATACCAGCGCGTACACTCTTGTATGAGCGTATCTTCGTTCCATTCGGCACGCCCGTTAGGATGAGTGGCAGCGAGTTGGGCGCACACAAAATGTAGGACATCGCCAGTGACGCGGACGAACATGCGGTTGGAGACACTGACGTTGCACACTGACCGCTGGTTTTCGGCTCCCGGCAACACTGTGGGCGGGTATAAGCCGGCCTCCTCTACGCATCTCCGGAGCGATTCCATATCCAGCTTCCGAATCATGTGAGCATTCTTCAAGGGAACGGTAAACTTGCGGTAGTATAATCCCTGGGTCTGGCCGAACAGTGGCGGCTCGTCGGCCGCATACGCAATGAGAGCTTCAACCTGCCACAAATGCTGCTCCATATTGGCGGCAAGCTGCCACAGGTGCACCACCGCGTACTGGGACGGGTTCGGTTGGTCCAGCTTGACGTAGAATATGCCCAAGTCTGCCCTTCGTGTCAGTAAACGGGCCGGGCGGAAAACGTATGGTCCGTCCGCGGTACTGCGCAGCGCCACCTGCACGCCCACGCTGCCGCTGGCGGCTACTTCCCAGTCCATTGCGAAACAGTCGTTGAAGAACCGCTGCGCGCGCACATGCCGCGAATGGATCCAGCCGGCGGCGAGCGTACTGCAATCGAAATCAACGAACATGAAGTCGCCGTCAATGTCCTGCGCGTATCCCAGCCACCGTTCACCATTGTCCCGCTCTACCAACACTGTATTTCCGTAGTTGATTTCGCGAGGGCCCCGCCATGGGCGCCGAAAGAAATACAATGGAATAATGTCCATGGCCGTGACAGTACGAAGAAAAATAAGATAATCGACTGTTTAATCACTTCTCCAATAACAGTTAGTAGCTGACTGTACTGTATTCAGATTAGTTTTGTTTCGCAAAATATACCGGTAAAAATTAGAAGAAATTAGCAGGACGGACAGTAGTCAGTGTGTCAGATGCACAGATTTGATTAACCGCAATATCTGGAAATATTAATAAACAAATATTTTACCAGAGTCCTTAGCCGTTGTAGCATGCACTGTCTGCAGAACTGGCCGGGGCACTTTGCGACTGCTTATTCGGCGGGTTGTTTCCAGAACGGTTCAGCTTCCCTCAATTCAGTCAGTCGGAGACAGACTCACTCCCAAGCTCCAGTATGCGAAGTAGGGTAATACAGTATATTCTACAATAGAGAGTACAAACGTGCATCGGATAGATCGAATACGGCAGGCCAGCGCTCGACAAACACCAGATTTATTAATTTTTCAATCCACTCAGGCAGAGCGAGACGCACAACAGAGTGATCTCGAGACACAGAGACAAGAAAGCCCGGGTGGCTGACCCAGCAAAATTCCAAGGAAGGCGCCACTTCTTTTCATGATGCATCTACTGATCTTCCGGCCTCCTTTCACTATTCTGGAACAAGCGGTACTGCGATCATCACAGGCCTTAGTTCGCCTAGTACTAAGTTGAACGGTCTAC